GGGACTGAACGATTGCTATCGCTTACATCATTTTGGGTGTTTAGTATCCAAAAAGAAAAGAAATTGAGAAGACATTGAAAACAGTTACCTGAAGGGTTGTCTCAACCAAAAATTTAGGATATAAACGCCAAAGATGGTGTGCAGTGACACACTTGATCATATGAAATGATTCGACTATATGTATGAATCGTCCCATGAGTTGATCGATCTAATCATATCAAAGTAACAAAATATAAATGATCAAATTCAACCGTGAAAATGCAAGTAATGGCATTTTCGTGAATAATACAATCAAGTTTTTACGAAAACGGTCAAACTTAGCAAGTGGTGGCTTCAGATGGTTAACAAGCTAGAGCGCTTCATCTGCTATTTTTGAAAGACTAGCATAGCCCTAAATTGGGTTGTTGAATTAGTGACCTCTAAAGAAATCGCGCCTCTTGGCCGTCTCCCGAAATATGCTCATACTCATACTTGCAAAACATTTCATAAAATTTCAATTGCCTAGAAAACTCTGTTGAGTGACCGCGAGGCTGACTTGCTGGACTATAATGTCATCTCAACGAAAATTACAAGAACAAAATACAAGCTTAATGATTAGAAAAATTCTACTTACACTACTTGTCGCATCTTTTTATATGATTCCGAGTCAGGCTTCAGTGCCGTGGTCAAGCGTGTATGTTGACGGAGTGTCATATCTTCGTAAGCTGAAATGCGAAAACATTGAAGGAAGATGAGACGGAATATGAATTCGGATTTATAATAACAAGGTGCTACCAGGCTAGCTTCTCCGTTTTATAGAGGAATGAAATGAAGTCAAGAAACACGCGGAAGTAAGTTGAGCAACAAATGGAGGAAGAATAGGTAAAAAATGAGAATAAAACTAAGTAAAATGGTCAGCAAGTTTGAGAAAGAAAAAGCTCTGGTTCAAAGAAAAAGATGCACCACTCACTTGAAAAACCCTGGTCAGGATTCTTCTTGCGCTTTCTCTTCATTTCTATTCTTGCCACCACATCAGCTGGCGTATTGAGAGCCTTTATCCGCTCATAATCCAAACCTTGTTCTTCAGCTTTCTAAAAAGTTTGTCATGACCCCTCATAGAGAAGTACCCAACGAACTATGTTCGAAACTGCACTGTACCTTTCTTTCTTCCATCTCTTGCAGCTCCCACTCATCGCGAGCCTTCTTGGCTTCGTAATTTTTTGGTAGCTTCTTCTTTCGATCCTCTTCCACAACTTGTTCATGATTCGCCTTCCGCGACTGTTGCTAAAGAAAGTGAGAGTGATAGAGTTCTTGTAAAACACCTCCATAGGAAGAAAAAAGCAAATCAAAACAAAGTACTGACCCTTAACTGATGCAACTTTCTAAATCTGTCATTGAAATCCGGCTTTGGTTTCGATGAAGATGAACAAGGTTTCTCAGCAACGGCATCAGCCATGCTTGGCAGAAGTGAACCTGGTTTCACCTGGAATGCATCCGAAAAAGTGATGAGGATAATGTGAGAGGCAAAAATGAGGTACGAAATTACGAGATAAATACTTCAAATCAGCTGATTCGAAAATCGCAAGAACGCATCTCTCTACAAACAGGATGTAAAACATTTTTTGTCAAGACTGC